TGAATCCTAGCCATGCTCTTGATCCAAATTTCATCTTCTCCGCTTCCCAAATGGAAATTATGAATCCTCCTGCATCTAAAGAAGAAATAGATCTGCTCAATAGGAACATTTCAAACTAAATGATGAATTGATAGACAAAGGCTCAAATTGTCATCCTCTACTAAAAACGCAAAATCAACAATGTAATCCACAACAAGAACAGCCTATGGAAGTTCAACTAGATGAAAATCTAGAAAATCAGGCTCAACAATTCAAACCAACAACATCGATACAAGGAGCCAAAATACCCATCTCCTACAAAGAATCACTAATAGGCTACAATGGCGATTATGGAATCCACCCAGGAAGAGAAATTAAACACTGAAACGAATCTCTTACTAAAGAATTAAAGCAAGAATGGACACTATCTGAAAGTACTAAGAAATTGATGGACCAATATCCTGCACTACAGATTTTTGATGGAGAATGGAAGAAAATATGCATGCCTTGGATGGATGCTATTGTTATTAACACATTGGGTCTACAACTCAACCCAAGATTACTCAAGCCCAGGTTAGCAAAAATGTAACAACTTAAGGATTTTGAATTGATTGATCTAGTTAACTGTTACTATATTGTTGGAATAAAAGACAATTTTGCCTATAATGAAATTCTCAATGGAAGACCCCGAATAATATTTGATTATTGCATATTAGTTCAAAGATGGTCTCCCAGCTTCAACCCAAACTCAAATATATTAAGCAAAATTGCTTTATGGGTTAAATTAACGAATATACCCATTCAATGCTATGACAAAGAAATCCTTTGGAGGTTAGACAATTGCATAAGCAGAACTTTAAAGGTGGACTCGAATTCTTTATCAGAAGCAAAATCAACAGACAAGAATAGCAAAACTGAATAGGGAAAATTTGTGAGAATAAGGGTTAAGGTGGATCTGTAAATGAAACTTGTACCCAGAATCTTAATTAGAGATGAGCTTTACAAAGTGGAGTATGAGAGTCTAAAACTAATCTGTTTCGGATACAGATGTTATGGACATAATAAAATAATTGCCCTCAAAATCCTTAGAATCAAACCTCTAAGCAGCCTATAAGAAACAAGGGCACAAATTCGACCAAATTATGACCAAGGTATAGCCACTCCAAGAATCTTTGAGGAAGAGAAAGGAAATCAGAAAAAACATACGAGTGAGTCGGACACTACCAATAACTTGCTAGAGGAGGAGTTCGGAGAGTTCATAAGATTCCGGCGAGACGCGAGATGTTCACAAAATCCAAGAAACCTGACTGATAGCCGCCCAATGCGTCACGATCGAGGACCTAAGCTATAACACACCAAATTTTTTTTAAATAATTTAACTCAACCATAATTAGGTTACAGCCACCCAACACATTCTTATATCAATAATTTCAATATAAAATATTTTATAATTGGCTTCAACTCACACACTATAACATTTCAGATAAATTTTTACCTCCCACATGCCATTAGGCTAAATCACATTTGTCCATTCTTATACTCCCAACAAGTAAACTAAATCACATTTGTCCATCCTTATACTCCCAACAAGTAAAATAAGCAATTTAGTCAATTTTCAACACAAGCTAGTTATTTGGCCTTATAATCATGCCATTTTAACCAATCCAAAGTAAACCAAATATTAAAATTACAGTCATCCAAATTGTACCAAAAATAGAAATAGTTTGAAAGGCATGATTACATTTATATATTCATATAATTGACAATAAACAAAAAGCCTTAATATTGGCAATATAACACATTATAAATCATAAATTAAATACCCAAAAGAGACAGTGATCAATACCACTAAGCCTCTGGGACTCCTCCACGTGTCACTCGTGGCTCTTCTCCTGAAAATTGTTAACCACATAATAAGACTCAAAAGTCCCAGTAACCAAAGCCAATTTATGATAGTGTATACAAACAGTTAAGTGTGTGCTTACTAAGTGAAAATTAAAAATAATATAATTCCAACAAATATAAAAAATATTACAATACACACAAACAACCATCCTTATATCCCTCCATTAACCTAAAGCCGTAGCCCTCACTCGGTGCTAAATTATCCGGCCAAAGGTAGATTAGCCCGAACCCTTACAAGCCACCTATTGAGCTCCAATAGGGGCGTACCACGTGGCACATAAATACAACAATAATAGCAAGTCTCCCAACATCTCCCACAATAATTAAACAAATTCATAATAATATTGCACAATTATACAATATTACAAAATTCATAATTTTCTCAATAATCACCCAATTAACATGAAGTAACACTAATCACAAATTAAAAGCATGGTTACCTTGTGACTTTTTAAATAAATTATTCCTTAAAATTTCTCTCTCATCACAATCTTCACAGTAATACAATCTACAAATAACATATTATTTATAAATATTAGTTTCAATTTTGAAACTAATAAAATAATTTTAATAATAGAATTAAAAATATAACATAATTCCTAATCTCAATCTAGAATTAATACTATTAAGTAAAATTTTTTTAACTCCTCTTTTAATTATCAATAAACATTAATAATCTAAAAATAAACTTCTAAACTAATTTCTATTATCAAAATTTTCTTTTTATTTCATAAATTCGTACCTAAAATATTAAAAATTAAAAATTAAGTCTCTAGCTTAGAATCATAATCCTATAACCATAATAATTCATTTCTCATCCCAAATAATTATCTAAACCTCAATAAATCAACATATATTTTCAGATCTAGTTTAGAATTTGATCCATAAGCCACAAATTCAAAGATCATCAATAAATTTATACTCTAGAATATTTATTACACTACTGACAACCTCAAAAACCATATTTATTCAACATAAATTTATTCCTCTTCCAGATCTTAAATTTTCTACCACTACAAACTCAGAAACCAAAGAAGAAGGATGACTAAGAAAAATTTTTAGAATACTTACTTAGTCTTGAAAATCTTAAAATCACACCTTAAATATCCTATTAAAAATTCTTACCTTAAAACCCAGCACCGTGAACTTGGCTCAGACGCTCTCTCTGATCGCACGAAAGAGAAGAGAAATGAAGAAAAAATGAGAAGAGAAAGGTGGTTTTTAAAAATGAATGTGGGTCCCATAATTTTTTTAATTATTTTCCTCTTTCCTCTCTCTTCTTTTTTTTTATTTTTATTATTATTATATAAATATAATGATTACACGCGCACGCTGAAAGTTTTCTTGTTCTTCTCATTTTGTTTTTTTTTTTTTTTATACCTTTTCTAATCCTTTCTTTTATTAATTTAATCTTTATATTTTTTAAAATTAATTTAAATTAATTATTAAAATTTAAATTGAAATGTTACGTCAAGCAACTTACATCTGTGACGCGATTCGACGTATTAGCTGATCTGGAGCAAGAAACTAACGGCCATGGGAGAGAAGATGCTAGGACAAGCAACAGTCGACCTAAGCAGTCGGCACACACAAAATCTGTCTGACAAGTATAGAGGAAGAAAGAAATATCTAGAGTGAAAAGGGCAAGACCGAATGATCAAGAAGCTATGACCGATGAAGCTACAGCTGAAGAAAAATTAAAAGAAATTAGGGGAGGGGGGTTAAGCCGACACATGAAAACTTGAACAACTGTAAACAGTAAATATTGACTTGATTACGAACCTGCCGGCAAATTGAAGAGAATGATGGAATTCCAGAATCCCAGTTAAGAAAGCGCCAGTAAGCATGTGTCACGCTCCTGCGGTCACCATATCTATCTGCCCATCTATTTATATACACAACCAATGAACTGGGCCTCGCAGGCCGAAAGCAGCGATCAAAAAGGGAAAGGCACATTATTGTTCAGAGGAAAGCCCGAGGATGATATGGTGGTTGGTGATTCTCATGAGTGTTGTTTGTGTGATAATGGAATGTGCAGTGGCAGAAGCAAGGCAGGTTCAGTTTCACCAACCCAGAACCTCCCCTGCATCCATGCTTCCCAAAGTCTCTGTTCCATCCTCTAGCCCAAGTCCTGGCATCAACCGATTCATCCATTCTTAGTCTGCCTCACTCTCATCATTCCCTTCTTCCATTCATTCATCCATACTTGCGGTCTGAGCTTTATTCTCTCTTTCAAACTCGTACCAGTCCACCATTAATGTCCATTCATTCATTTTGTAAACCTTTCACATTTTGGATTGTTTTTCGTCTTTTATCCTTTCAGCATGTTTGTATCCAGGCCTGCCTATTTATTTGATCATCTCCTTATTTATAAAAACAAATGCCTACTTGTACAGATAGAACAAGCATAATTGCCTAGCCAATTAAACAGCGCTTACCTACGATTCTTTTTCTTTTTTTCTTTTTAATAAACCGCTTTCCTATAATTCTCCCAAATCAGATATTTGTCATGCATAAATTTTAACATTTTTTGTATAATACTAAGAGTTTGAAAAATGACTATTTTATGGTATTGAAATAAAAAGCTGATCTTCTGAATAAAATTCTCCTTTATGTTTTTAAATAATATATATATATAATATAATTTTAAATTTATAGAAACCGAAACCATAATATATTATTATTCGTCATTTATTTGGATTTGAGCGGCACGTGGGTTCTGTACTGTTATGGTCAGCGAAGGTTTATTAATTCACCTGTGCAGCTTGAGTATATGATCAAAATACAATAATACTTTCATGACTCTTACTGTGCGCAGGATGGTTGCTTTCGCATGGAACAGAAAAATGTTTTGGTAATGTTTGATCAAATTGCTGCTCAAGTTTGCTCAGTTGCCTATTGACAATGAAGATTAGACCTACAATAGGCTTGCGGGAATGACTAGCAGGTTTGAAACACGGAGAAGTCAATATGAATATTTATATAAAAGCTATTAAAAAAATCACATTGTTCACAAAGTTACTACTAATAACTGTGATTTTCAGTCTTGGATTCCATATATTGTATAAGGGATCAGGATCCTAATTATTATTTACAGCCATTGAGGGGCCAGGAGAGAGGACAAAGAATTACCACTTCAATGCATGAAAATCACCGTAAACAAATTATTGACTATTTACAGATAAGTCATAAAACTTATTTATCTCATTAAACAACAAAACAATTTTTAGCTATTGAGATAGGTTGCCTCAAGCAAAATACAGCTGTGAGACCTCACTTCGTAAGTGAACAATCCTGCGGCCTGCTCAGGGACAGGGACCCCGTCGGAAGAGAAAAACCCAGGAAATGGAAGAGATGTATCAACTAAACGACACCATGACATCCCTTCTGGAGGTGGGGATAAAACTACAGTTTCTGATTGATCAGCTGCATTGAAAGCCATAAATAAATCACCCGCTGATAAATTAGAGGTTTCAGAACTGACTGGGATGGAGCCTCTTTCAACCTTCAAAGTCATGGCCAAAAACTTGCAGGATGGGTCGTCCCATTTTGGTGGAGATAGATCACTTCCTCGCCATTCTACGTTTTCTTCCTTCCAGAAGCTTCGTCTCTGGAAAAGATCACTTCGTCTATTTCTAAGTGTAGTCAAAAACAAAATGAATTGCGAGGTTTGCTTACCAAAGCCTGAATTTAAACCACTCCAATCTAAAGGCTTTCTGTCTCCATATGCAGGAGAACCCCCACAAGACAGACCACATTCATCTCCCATGTTCAGAACAGGTACTCCCAATGACACAAACAAGATGAAAAGGAAATTACGGATTTGTTTAAGTCTTCTTTCAAGGACACTCCTATTATTAGTGGGCCCTTCTTCTCCACAATTCCAACTTAATTCTGAAGCTAGTTCCCCACTGCTGAAGCTGACCAAGTCCACAAGAGAGAGTCCAAGGTTCCTGGCGACATAATTAAAAGAAAATGCAGGGCCTCGCCCATCTAAAAACAAGTCCCCGCTCCCACAAATTCTAGTTGCGAGGTCGCTAACAAGACTTTCACCCCTCAAAAAATTCCTCACATCGTTACAGAAATTAGCATTCATTTCTGCCCATCTCATCCAATGAGGAAACCGAGTTCGCCTAACAACCATGTCATAAGAATCCGAGCTATCTGCGATGATCTTGGTCTTGGATAGTAATGGATCAAAAGTAATTGCTTCAACCAATGGAGGTCGAGACAAGTTTTCTCCATGAAACCCCCTCGACAGATGTGAAGCATTTACGAAAGTGAAGCCATCGATGTGAAACTCAGTAACCCAATACCGAAGGCTATCCAAAATCAATTGTTGCACTACAGGATAGTTACAGTTCAGGGAACTCTGAATCTTCGAATCACCAACTCCATTTGCATAATAGTAGGATAAGTCATCAATTCCTTGCAGTGCTCCCACCTCAGTGGTATGGGTCACAACAACTTCCATAAGAACTTCAATCCCATTAGCATGCAAATATTTCACCATCTCTTTCATAGAGTTAATTGTAGATATGGGACCACCAGACGGTCCAAAAATATGGATTGGAGAAAAGAAGTGACAAGGAAAATATGGTCCTTTTTGTTCATCAAATGTGACGATTGGCTCCAAAAGAATTGCATTGATGCCAAGGTCCTTAAAATGCTGCACCTTCTCAGCCAAACCAGAAAAGGTCCCAGCTAAACCAGCAGGTAGTTGGCTAGATTTATGCTGAGTAAAGTGCCCGATATTCAATCTATAGACCACTAGTTTTTCAATTGGTAAATTTGGATAAAAATCATCACCCCAATCAAAATCTGGTTCCTTGCACAGCCTTCCAAGAAACTTTGCAGTTAAACTAGATTTATAACCATTAGGAAAAGAATTCCCAATAATTTTTGCATATGGATCTAGAAGAACATGCTTATTACAATTATCATCCTTGTTTTGCTGAACAAGAGCCCCTTTGCAACGATAACCATAGCTCACAAATGTCCAAGCACTTTCAAATGAAATATGCCATATGTCACCGGATCGATTGACATAAGGATCTAGATCAAGCTCCAAGGCAGGTTTCTCAAGATTGGTACCATCATACAAGCATAAAACCATACCTTCAGCTTGCCTTGAGAAAATAGCAAAATTCATAGAACCATCAGGAGAAAAAGTGAGACCCAGAGGAGTTGGATGCCCGGGAAGAGAACCAACTGGCACACAGAAATTTGTTTTTCTGTGACTTCTAATATCAGATGCACTTGACTCAGCATTCAATGATGATCTCAAGATAAATGAGAAATAAAAGGGAACTTTTTTTGCATCAAATTCCAGCTCAATTGTAAAGTTGCCTGACAATGACCGTTGGAATGGGCTTAGATTCATCCCTATTCTTGTATCTGTAGCTGAATTTTTAAAATCTGGAAGCACAAAACATGATGAATTGACCCTGGACACACCCCAACACAGCACCAGCCCTTCACCACGTACTTGTAAGGAAGAGACCTCAATAGACACAGAATACTTGACATTTTTCTTGATAACATAAACTTTCACCCGACCACCAATTTCTGTCCTGAACAAAAAATTCAATGCCCTGCCTAAATCTTCAACTTCAGTAAACGTAGCGACTTGCTTTTTACTTTTCTCGATGGATACTTGGGATAAAGCATACAATCTTGCAGTGGAATTCTGGTAAAAGGGGCTAATGATACTTTGCATTGCTGTACGAACTTTCTTTCTTTTTGTACCTGGAATTTCAAATCCAGACAATCTACTTCCATATTTACACTCACTTAGCTGAGATACTTCGATGGCCTTTGGTTTTTGAAGGCATGCTTGAATTGAAAATGACAGAGGAATATTTGCCATTTTTGGTGCTAGAGAGCAATGAACCCAGACAAGCACGCAGGAAATAACTTCAAAAGCCTGGAGGGGGGTCCTCAATTGGTTTAGGAAGCATTTTGCTCTTGATAATAGGAATTATAGCATTGCGTGGGCAAGACATGATAGCCAATCTTTCCCACAAGAATCAAGAGGAACTCAACTACACAATCACATATACAGCCAGTGTTACAATCTGATCGAAAAATGAAAATCGTACAACCGTCATTGATCAAAATTTTTCAATGAAAATATAACAGAAAGTACCTAAGAAGAGAAAGTTGAGTTGCAAAAAGTATACCATTCAACAATGACAGAAGAAAATCAAATTGTATGCCGCACATAATTAATGAAGAAAGATCTGATGGGATGATATTGATTATAATCAGTTTCCAACAAATAATCTTCCTGGATTTAGACACTGACTCCTAAAACCAAAAACTTGGGAACAACCCAACCCAACACAGCAATGAACATGAATAAATAATAACAATATCCGAGAGAGAGAGAGAGAGAGAGTCGAACTGTAGAGATCTTCGATGATCAAGTTCAAGGCCTCATGAAATTAATGGATAGAGCTTATAGCATCGATATTAGTAGTAGTGCTAAGCAACCATGTGAACAGAACTTACATTCTGTTGGCATATATATGTCCACAGGAGCGGGTCACTTAGTTAAATGCTTGCTTGGTCCAAAATGCAACGAGCACTCAGTGATGAGTCAAAATCGGGCATAAGCCAGTCTTTTTAAATCCTGCCTGCAATAACGGGGGAACTAGATCGAAAAAATTTAGTGAGTTCGGGTTCCCCGGACATAAGAAAGATGTGCAAAGCAATTATCTTTAGAGCCACACATAGAACAGATGGAATTCTCGAGCAGAACAATTGAAGGCTGTCCCGCGATTCATTCTCGCACAACAGTTCATGGCTTGGTTTACGAGCGTCACTCCTTCGTAATCTTGGGAGAGTGCAAGAGCACTATATTCTATAGCACCACTTCGCTTTCTTTTATCTTAAAATCCTTTTCATGCGGATATGGTGTCGCTGGCTCGCAAACGTGAACTGATTGCTGAAAATTAGCTTCAACCCCACCCTTTTTTCCTTTTTTCTTTTTAATAATTCTTAACAAGAGAGGGTATTTAAAAAAAAAAGAAAATCATAACGACGGGCTGCGTGAAAAGTAGACCGAACTAGGTCAACTACCTTTTTTAGCTTCAAAAAAAAAGAACAAAAACAGGGAATATAAGGAATTAAGGACCAAGCACTTGCAAATTGAGATGAGGAATAAGTGTGTCATTTGAAGTGAAGAAAACTAGTCATAGTGTAATATATTTGGTAAAATTTTTTATAGGATTTGGCTCAAATTGCATTGATAACAGGTGACTAAGAGATCAGTGAAGTGGGGAAGTAGAAGTTGGTGGCCATGGAAACGGAGGGATTCAGCGCAGAGTGGGAGAGATCAAAGCTAACCGCGATGGAGGCCATAAAAATGGAGGTACATAGAGAGGAGTGCGTTTAATAGGTTTTCTTTTTTTTTTTTTCCTTGATCCAACAATATTTAAAAAAAAAAAAAAAAGCAAGCCTACCTCATGGGGTGACGAGGCTAGTTGAAAAGGACCCATTACACCTTAACAACGCAAATCCCTTATTAAAAAACAAAAAACAAAACAAAACAAAACAAGACAAAACAGAAGGCACGGAGTTATTTAAGTCGCCAGCGATTGGGGAGTACAAGTAGGCAGGGTGTGGACTATGGAGTCGACTGTGGGGTACATGAAAACCGCCAGTCGCCAGGCATGGGGAGGGCGTACCTGACAAGGACGGAAGACTACATATTTGATTGCTTTAAGATAAATACTTTTTCGACTCTCTTTATAATTTACTTCTAACAACTTTTTCAATATCAATATAAAAAATATATATAAAAAATTTTAAATATATCTTTATATAAAAATAAAAAAAATAATATTATGTTTTTTTTTCTTGTAAAAAGTATTTTGAAAATACTTTTTAAATATTACCTAAAAAATTATACCATAATTTATAAATAGGATAAAATAAACTTTTTAGAAGATGCTTTATAAATAAGATCGGAGAGAGCATGTTGTTTCAAATTACAACCTTGATATACTAACTCCAAGCATCAAACGCAACTAAAAGACAAATTTTTAGTGAATTTTAGCAGAGCAACCCAAACTCCAATCTTTGTATGAAACCCCATCATCTCAAAGGAACAATTAAATTGATCCAAGTACATCATTCACCACAAATTTACGCCATTAAATAAAATGCCAAGAGCAAATTGTAGCTTGATTGAACCAGAAAGATGAGAGAAGCAACAACGAGAATGGTGAGTGTCACAAATCTCATATCGAGAAGCCTCATAAGTGATATAAGGTTTACAAGTTTAAGAGGCTCTCCCTCCTGCTAGATCACTCTTTTAAAATAAGCCCTCCCTTTAAACTAGTACTCATCATATTGATGCTCTTATTAAGAGTCATCATTTACGAAAAAGGCCTCCTATGGAGGGGTTGATCGACTAAAGGCCAAGTGAAGCATTATAGGGTGTGAGTTGTAGGGATGCCCCTCTTAAGAGGCAGGCTATGTCATGAGTTCTATATCGAGAGGCCATATTGGTGGATTGTGATTTGTAAGTCAATTGAGCACCCTCTCCTTACAAGGTGTCTTTTAAGGGTTGAGTTCTACTCGGAGGGCTTGTGGTCATGACATTGCTCCACAACACTTCATTTGACCTTTGGTCAGTCAATCCCTCTAAGGGGGCCTTTTCTGTAAACAGCAACTCTCAACAAGAGTATCAATGTCACGACCACAAACCCTTTAAGTAAAATTCACCCCCAAAAGACACCTTGTAAGAGGAGGATGCCCAATTAACTTATAAACTATACTTTACTAATGTGGTCTCTCGATGCAGGGCTCATAACATAAATGTTATATCCACAAGTCTTTCAAGTAAAACTCACCCCCAAAAGATGCCTCGTAGAGGAGGGTGTGCAATTGACTTATAAACCACATTTCACTAATGTGGCCTCTCATTTTAGGACTCATAACATGGCCCACCCCTCAAGAGCCAGCGTCCGAATGTGACGAGCACACATCCAAAAGAAAAACCCATCCTAAAAGACTAGTCGAATATAAGGGAAAGTCCATTAAACTTATAAACTCTATACCACTTGTAAGGCTCCTTGATGTGAGACTTGTGACAGTGAGCAATTGAGAGAAAGAGATGGTGAAGGAGAAGAAAGAACTGACTTTTAGGAAGAAGTGACAAATAGAGTTGCATGTCGATAAGATCAAGAACGTGAAAGAAGCTTGTGGTGCAGCGTTGATGAGAACGATGATGGCGAGAACAAGAAGCACCCAATAGCATAGGCAACGATGGCGAACACGAATCAAAAAGACTTGAACAACAAACGAGAAGAGAAGACAACCAAAGACCAAGAGAGGTGGTGAGCAAACAACATGGAGAGGCAATGAACAGTCTAGAACAATGTTTTAAAATCACACCAGCAACCAAACGAGAAGTCAATGGAACATGATTCTTAAGGTAAAACTAGTAATGTAATAATCAACTGTTTATGTAAGATTAAGTTATTTTTAAGTAGTTTAGAGATTTTATAAAAAGATATTTATTTTATAGAGATTTCATAAAAAAACAAATATTTTATATTTGGTTACAATAATAAAAAATGATTGTTAATTAGTTATTTTTAAATTTTATCATATCTTCCTTAATATTTTTTATAAAAACAATTTATCATTATATTATTTTAAAATTGTATGATATCTTTGGGTATCCAACATCTTTAAAACTCTCTCTTTCATTTATTTTCATAAGTTACTCAAAGTAATTTCTTAAAATAATCAAAAATTTATTTTTTTTTGGATTCTAATTACTTGTAAAAATTTAAATAAACATAATAAAAACTCACAAAATAAATTTTTTTCAAAAAATAAGTGACTTTTTCATAAAATTAGCTAAAACAAATGGGTCCTAGATAATGTGGGTAATTATATAAACATAAAAATTATATATGACATTACTACAAAACTAAAACCAAAAATTTCAATGAGTTAACAAGTCACATGTAACAATGAATATATATTAGCAAAATTCCAACTTAAAAATTAAAATACAAGAGTATACAGTCAAGTATCACCTATCGAAAAGAGACACAAAAATATCAAGCAACCTAATACAAAGAACTATGTATATTGTACAGATAGTATCAGCTTTTGACTTGTTCAAGCACAGTTGGAAGAAAGGGAGAACAAAGGATCTCGGCATATAGCATGAATGTGAAGCTTAATTCATATTTCTCCAATATCTATAGATATTAAATCTTCCTCATTGTTCACATGAATAGACATCTCAAACAATAAGCAAAACCCCAACTTAAAATGATAAACCTCAACGAAACATAAACAGCCAAAATTTCAAACTTGAACAGAGAAGATTTTGCAAACACCAGATTATTTAGTATATGAACTCGCCCTATACAAAAAAGAAACGAAAAAGCAATCCACCAGAAAAGCTAATAAGCATAAATTACCTCACACACCAGCAATTGAAGTCGACAGTGATGTGAAGAAATCTAGAAGTCGCAGAGCGATGGAATGGCACAGCTATGCTGGATAGTTAAAGAAGGGGAATCAACGCGAATGGGGGTTTGGAAGTGTGGGATGGAGGCATTGAAGGTCCTACAATTTGTCCTAGTCGAGAGACTGGACGGCACAAAGAGGTTGAGCGAGTGACGGTGATAGAGTGCAGGCGGCAGAAATTAATTTTTTTTTTTTATAAATATAACTTTTGATCCTTATACTTTACTCACATCTTACTTTTGATCTTTATATTTTTTTTCAGTATTTTAAATCGCTATATTTTTATTTTTTATTATTTTTAGTCCTTCTATAATTAAAATATAGGGACCTTGAAAGGATTTAAAACAATGAAAAATAAAAGTGTTAAGACTTAAAATATTAAAAAAAAATATAGAGATTAAAAGCAAAATACGAGTAAAATACATGAATCAAAAATTATATTTATCTTTTTTTTTTTTTAGGGTGATAGTTCACCCATCCGGTTTGCAAAACCACCCCCAGTTTGCTCTCTGATTTTGGTTTCCGGCCCAATTACCAGTTCAAGTGGTCTAACCCGGGTCAAATGGCGAAACAGCCCAATGTCTCAAACCGAGTCAAAAGGCTCACCAGCCCACCGGTCAGTCCTTTTCGAGCTTAAAAACAATAGTTCAGAACTTCACCCAAGTTTTGGTTTTTGGTTTGTCAGGAGTGTTTATGGAAATTATTCAGGTTGGCCAACCTAAATTCCTGCTCCAACCACAATTGAAATGCCAATAACAGAGTAAATAAAGTAACGAGGAACCAAACAAAGATAAGCAAAACCAAATCAAATTGACCAAATTAAGAAGATTTGATTAAGTTCAATAATTTATATTCACATTACATTCTTTCTGATAATTAATAACTTTAAACAAGTACTCCTCCGGCCTTTTTTATATCTCATTGCTACCAATCTAATTACTATCAAAGTAAACAAAAAAATATAAAAAATAAAAGTGTGTAAAATTTTAAATATACTCTTATATAATAAATTTAAAAAGTAATGTCATATTATTTTTTTTTATAAAAAGTAATTTCAAAAATACCTTTTAAATATTACCTAAAAAATCATACTCTGACTTATAAATAGAATCAAATGAATATTTTAAAATGTACCTTATAAATGAGATGGGAGGGAGTATGGCGATAAAACAATTTAATTAATATATCACCAAATAATTTATAATAAAGACCCTCCATTTCTTTCCGGAACAACGCTGAAATGAGTATTGCACATAGGCCTCTTTTGGCGACACCAACACCTGTATCGGAAATTGGAAATGGAAGTATAATCAGATATAAATGTCAAAATGAATCCATCAAAACAAATTGACGCCTTCTGTAGTGAAGAATAAAGATACCGTGTGGCTCACGGTGTGCAGCTGGCAATGGCAGGCCCGCCCTTACTGTCGTCATCTGTAATAAGTTAAGCCGTGCAGCAACTTGCGATTCCCTCACCTCCAATGCCATAGCTAGACAACGACCCCATACATACCCTCCTTATTCCTATCATTTTCCCTTGTAACACAAAACCAGAGGCTAGAGCTTTAAAAATATTATCATCTTCAGTCATGTCACAGTTTGCCTGAATGCTATTACATCCACCGCCAATTGTGAGATCTTATTCAATAACACGAGTATTCTTCCTAGTTTAAATGGGCCCTCACTCCTAAATTAAAACACACTATCCTAACCCTAATTATTATTCTTTGCAGTAAAGCAGAACCTTATCACAATTGATAAGGCTTAGCACTCGAGCAACCTTCAAGAAGCTTCCATCTTTTTCTTTCTGATGCTGATAACAGTGAGGCTAGGAACATGCATATAACGGATGTTTCATTTTAAAAAGAAAACTACAAACTACTTCCTAGAGCTCAAGGTGATTTGATAATTAAATATATATGCATTAACATATATACAGCTTTTTTTACGTATGTACATAGTCTCACTAAATGCACTTGCTTGTATTTCCTTTACAGGGATGTATTGGCATAAAGAAAAACGAAATAGCAATTGGATATCAGAACAAGAGGAAACAAAAAACCGCGCAGCAGAAGAAGAAAATACAGACTCTGCTGAGTGACTTGTCCACTTGCATCAAATGCCTTCTCACCCTCGGATTGCTGATCCCCACGAGACCATATGAATTAGAAGGGTACGTGTTTGTCAACTGATTACCAAAGACTCTAGCATATATCATCTGACCAAAAACTCCATGTGTATTGAACTGTTGACTGTGATAAGGATAAAGGGGCTGATGAAAATGAGAAGCTGGTTGGGAAGCAGTTGTGGTATTATATGATCTTCGTGAGTCATGAGCTGCAGCTACACTGTTATGTGATATTGGTGAGTGACGAAAAGCAGTTGCAGCATTACATGATCTTGGAAAATCATGAACTGAGACAGGACGGTGAGGTCTTGGAGGTATGCCAGTCCCTACATGGTGAGACTTGCATTTGGAAGGTGTTGCCGTTTGGATACGGCCATATACTGGAATGAGGGAGGATTGAGAGATTTCTGATTTGCAAACTGGGCAGGATGTCCTCTTCTGCTCTATGTTCTGAGAAGAAACGCTATGAATATGGAGCCATTCGTAAATGCAAGGCCAGCAGTAGAGATGACCGCAAAGAGTTAACACTGGATCATGCAAGGAATCCAGGCAGATATTGCATTCAAAGTCGCCAGAAGCATCCCTATCACCATCTGCAATGGCTTCAGTGGCAGAATTCCACTTTTCCAAATAAGATTTATCTCCAGAGGCACCAGCTGGCTGTCCAGAATCCTCAAAGTGATGATCTAAGGCCATTCTTTTTGTTTCACTGTGTGTTAGCTCGAATGCCAGAATCTGACAAGTATGAACATTCAATGTGAGAATCATGATTAACTATACAAACGTCAGATAACAGAGATCTGAACAAACTAAGGAAACTGTTGAATCAATCATATATAGTAGCTAATTCTTCCCAATTTCAGATTAGGACAAGAGGACATCTACAATTAGCCATGCTTTGAGAAAAGACTTTCTAAAGCCCTCCTAAGAACTCAAATAAACACTGAGATGGTCATGGTGCAAATTTTGTCTAGCCATCTTTATTCCTTAATCTTTTAAACCTCCTAAGGAAAGCTAGAACAGTACCAGCTTTTTTGTGACAGAAGAGGAATATATTTTCTTCGTTTCTTTGAGAACTTAAGAGAGCATGGCCATTTCTTGTGGTAGGTGTTCACCAAACTAATTTTGAAGCTGTTTTAATCACAAGTTTATATTTCATCTCCATCAGTCCATCAAAATCAAACTACCACCCAATACAGGTCCCAATGGCAATTCTGAGAAAATTGATTTAATTTTCGTCAAAATAGGTCGTCTCAATTGACTTGTCTACCATTCTCATTTGTTCAGAACAAACACTTCTCTGTAGGGTGCATAATATGTTTAGTGTTTATTGGAAGGAGAACATTAAAAATTAGGTAGCAAGTCAGAGCTGTCCTCATTTGGTTGCATTTCAATACTTGGCTAACAGAACTACACGACCACATATGTTAGGGAAGCAATCCAAGAAATAACATATATTATTGAGACAGTGGAAGAAAACAATTCCCAAATATCGAAAGCCATTCATTGAACCAATCATTTAAAACGATTAACCAATTAATCTGATTATTTAATCAACTGCAAAAGTGGATCCCTATATAATCAAAGCAAAGTTCACAAGGCCCTGATATGACTGTTAACTTCCTCGTCCACCTAAATCTGTTTTTTCTTTTCTTTTGTTTTTTTTTTTTTTGGCCAATCGTCCATCTAAATCTTAAAGGAAGGAACTGGCACACTGATACTCGAATAATGCTAGGCATAAATAATATCAAAGCATCTTTTATCTTTAAATCAACCCGCCATCAAAAGACCAGCAAAGTCTTCTTTGTATGGAAATAGATTAGTTTAGAAGAATTGAAGTTTATCAGACAGAAAAGAGCGCCAAGATCCCTTATACTCTGAATACGAAAAATGTTTTTCAAATTATCGTGTGCTGAACGAATGTGACAGAGAAGAAGGGGTTAACATTGGTATGAGAATACATGGTTTGAACATAAACCAGTCAGCAACAAAAAATCCTTTTTTTTTGCTTTTCTCAAGTAGAAGCGAGATTCGGATAAATTGAGTCCAATTAAAAGAACATTGAATCCGTTGATTACGGTACAGGAAGGCATGCCGAAGAAAACAAAGGGAGGGGGAAGGGGACATGGCTTGTATGTCCTCAAAACACACACACACTCGTCCATGATCCTATATATATTAAAGATACTTCTCAAACGAATTTTCCGGGAAAAAAAAGGCACAGTTTAACTCTTTCCGATGATAGGAATAGAAAAAACAAAGCTTTTATAGAAACTTCATGCACCCAGATGCATCGACAGACTCATTCCACAAGGTTCAGGAAAAAAAAAAGCTGAATCTAATGAGCGCAGGAGAGTGAAGAGAGAAGAAAGCGAAATGATTTGATACTTACAAAGAGAAATAATGAAAGACCTGTGGCTATGGCAGCAATTAGAAAGAAGGGGCGAGGCAGAAAGACCAGGAAGCGCGAAATACAGTGGACTAAACGAAAAGAGAGCAGTGAGAAATACAGAGGGCGAGGCAAAACAGAGACGAGGGAGGGAGCTTTATATACGATGATAATGAAGACTGACTCTGCGGTTTCAAACCCTCTCTCCACGCACCCGGATATACATATCGTGACGTGGCACCCACAGATTGCAAGTTGCACTCTGATTAATTTACTTATATAAACTTGAAATCAAATTTTTAGAGTAAATTGAATTAGTTTTAATTGGTTTATAGTAATATGAAGCCTGATGAGGAAATAACCTGACGAATTACGGCTTCATAAAATTTTAATATTAATGTTTATTGTTTATCGAGTTATATATTTTAAGAAAAAGTTGAAAGAGAGATATCAAAACCAAAACCTACTCAATGGATGATCTATATATAGTATAATTTTTTATTTTTAATATCAAGCAATTTTTATTAAATAAATAAAAAACGTCACGTAAAGGAAGCGAAAAATAGTTATTTCCTAACAAAAATGTATTTTTTTTTTTTTACTAAAATGTATGTTATATTCGTCCAAGTTTACTGGGTTAATGAGAAGAGAGCAATCCAATTAAAAATGAAAATAGTGAAAAAAGTTGTAGATGACTGATAACCTTATACCCCTGTTCATAAAAACAGTATTGAATATTAAGAGTAAATAAAATAAAAATTGCAACAAGTTATCTTTTTGAATTTTGATGTTATCCTAGTTCTCCTTTTACATCATTCCTTAAAACTGGGCGCAATGAACCAGATTGGATTATTCAGGAGTTACTATGCCCCCCGTTCGCACCTTAAGTTTTTGGCAAAGTTCTTTGTAATTCAATTGCTTTTCCTTAAGATTTTTTTTTAGGGAGAATAAAAAGTAAAGACAGTGAAAATATTAATTTCAGATTATTTTTTTAAAAGAATTTTAGTATTTAAACGTGGAAGAAAGAGTATTAAATTCAAAAATTTTAATTGTGAAAAGATCTTAATTTAATATTAATCTTTTTTATGAGATTTTTATTTGTCATTTTTTTATTTTTATAAAGTGCTGCTTATTTAAAAAAAATTACTGCAATACTGGCTAAACTTTTGTGCTAGTTGTTAAACATTGCCTGTAAATTTTAGTGCTGATGCAAGTTCCAGGCCTTCGGTTCACCGTGTTGAATTTTCTAATCAGCAAAATTGTTCTCATTCTCATGTATGCCTGTGGCATGTGGCTTGAGAATTGTGCCCCCCCCCCCCCCTCCCTCTCTGTTTTAGATAATTAAATCCCGGGACTTCAACTTATAAAAAAAAAAAAATAAAACAATTGTTCATGATTAAGCAAAACTTAAACGTGACAAGGTTATTAACTGTAAATTTCATCAAATCAAAAGCTGTTTATTTGATCTTTTTAATCAGATTTTGACAAACTAAAATAGTATTACTGTGCATTATCAAACTTTAAATAAAAATGCAGTAAATTAAACACCAATCAAGTTATCAACTTTTTTTTTTATTGCATTAAAAAACATCTTGTTCAAAGTAGATTAATTAATATTAAATAAAGGCATCTCTCAGGCTCTTACAACAAAAATTTAAATTTTAATTTACTATATTATAAAAAATTAGCTTCTTATATCAGACTTAATCCCTATTGATAATCAAGTTATCGTTTTAATTAAGTGGTTTAATGTTTTGTAACTGCTTTCACAGAAGGCGTGATCAAAGAATGGTGGATGAGCAGGCATTGAATAATTCGTAATACAGTTCGCTTTAAAGAAGTACAAAAGAATTTCGTATTCTTGCAGACAACTAGCCGTATAGGTGTGGAAGAGTATATTGACGCACTTCTCCATCAATGGGCCATGGGTCCATAGCTTTAACTTTCCCTTCTTTTTCATTCTTCGTTTTTTCCCCCAAATACTACGTAGTTGTTCATATTTTTTTAATTATTAATTCAATTTCTAAAATTTAATTAAAACCTATCCAATATTTATAGTTTCCTGACTCAAAAAAATTCATTTTTTACAATATATTGATTTCATATAACTTAATTTATATAATTCTTTAATTAATTTGATAAATTGTAAAATTTAAATTATACTTAATCAAAGTTTTTAAATTATATCGATGATTGATAGAAAATTTATAAACAAAAAGTCATATTATTTTTAATACTGGATTTATATTAAATTAATCTTATAGGCTCAATATCAATAGACTGTAGTTTTAAGTAGGGATATTTATGGAACGGGATGGGATCAATACACCTTTATTTTATGTCCCGTATCAAAAAATAATTGAAACCAAATTTTTATTCCATGTTTTATCCTGCCATGAAAGTCGTCTCATCCTGTCAGAAATCGAGATGAGACCGAGACAAAATCAAAACATTCTGCCATCCCAATAAATCAAGCAACATAAAAAAAAAGCTTGAATAATAACATTCATTAATTATAATTTTAAATCACGTAACTTATTGAGTGTAAAACTAAAACAATGTAAGTATATAAATCACAACAATTATTGCGCATCAATCACAACTATAAGTGTGTAACTTAAAGTTAAATATATATGAGACATAACATACTATGATAACAGTTATAAATGATATCTAAATATTGCCTTATAAGGTATACCTTTTATCATTAAAATTATCAATATAAAAGATTTTTATTTTAAAATAAGAATAGCATGTATTCAAATGGAAATTAATATAAATATAAATTATATTAATATATTCAATTATTCAATTCATATTTTTAAAATAAAAAATAATATATATATATATATAATATTCAGGATGAGATAAGATAAGGTATCCTGAAAGCAATTCTATATCTCATTCCTTCCTGCAAAATAGAGATGAATAACATGTTTAGGAGAGCTAATTTGAATAATAAACTTGATGCTTTAGCTTCTCAAATGAGCATGTTTTTTAGTTATATTAGTTCATTTAATGTGTAAGCATCTACACTTCCGAGCAACATAGTTGTTAACCCAAAAACACCTATTAATGCTATAACTCTAAGAAGTGATAATGAAGTAGGTGAAAACATCAATAACGAAAGAAAAGAAGGGGAAGTTGTGGGGGTTAAGGATGGAATCGGATCAATTAAAATAGGCATAAGTTAAACCTTTCTAATTTAAGTTCCCCTTAGTTCAAGATGTGGCAAATACTATAACATCCCAATTTAAATTTTAATAGTTAATTTAGGTTAATAGAAATTTTAAAAAAATAATATTCA